GTCTACTGCATATAAGAAAGGTGTCAAAATAATTATTTTTGTGGAGAAGAGGACAGGTAGGACTTACCCACTTTATGAAGAGGAATGAATGAGTGAGCAGTGAATTAGTACACAGGGTCCTGTCATGTAAAAACTCAGATTTTGCACATTCTCTTGACAAAATGTTATCAGAGATGAGAAGGAGGCATGATGGACTAGGGATAGAATAAGGATATGGGTGGATGTTGTGGATATTGTTAGGAAGATTTAAATACAGATACTGTAAATGAGGGTATTGCAGTAGAGGCACTGTGAGAAAATAGAACACAAATCTATAGAAAAAGAACAATCTGTAGATAGTCCCGGTGACATAGTGACTGAGTTAGTGGAAGACAACATGCCCTATTATTCTCAGTAGATTTATAGTGAAGTCCATTCCTTGAACTCAGTGAACTTGAGCTATGGGGATGCCTAAAATCTGGTTTTATATCTAGCCACTGTCAAAACTGGGACTCTCAAGACAACCCTAGACGGGGGAGAAAAAGAAAATAAGGGACCATAAGCAATTTCAGAAAAGCTCTTTATCACTGCTGACATCATGACTTGCTTTGGATTTCTGGTTTTGTTTTGTTTTTTCTCTTGGTGCTTGTCCAGACATTTCAGGTGAGAAGGGATACTTTCAGATGTGAGGAGTAGAAGGTTAGAGAGAAAGTGTTTTGCTCCTGGAGGCTTAATTTGAAGTGAAGGATGAGAACAAGTCTTGTACAAACCTCCATGGAGGGAAAATGACTAGAATGGTTTTAGTGCTAATTATAATTTTAAAATTGCGTCAGAATATTCTGCAATGATAAATACATGTAGTTTCCTCCTTGTTATGAAATTTGGCCTTTCTCTGAAAAAGCTGAGGTTTTTTCAGTGGCTGCCAAGTCAGATCCATCCTTACATGTATAAAGCACCGTCCTCAGCTTCAACAATATTGAATTTAAACTTTGGTGTCATGGGCTTCATATGAAATTCATATAAAAACCGTATTGTGGATTTAACTGAAATTAGGACTCTGTTTTTTGAAGTACATTTCACAAGAACAGTACAAGGTGAATCCTGCCACAGGGAGCTTGCAGTGTAAATATTAATTTTATCTCACTTTTACAAGAAGAAGCTTAAGACAGACATGTAGGGATTGATTGTGTGGCTTTTCATAACCAGCTGCTGTGGTTTGCCTGTGGTTTGAATTGCTCAGGAGCTGCACAGCTATACTGGCACTGTTCACAGCCTGCAGTAACATGTCCCAGCCCTCAGCTGGACTCCCTCTCTCAGGATTGGAGAGTGGCTAAGGGAGGCTGCATAGCCACTGGCAGAGTTGGTTCATGTCTGCTCCAAAAGTTCACATAGACCCTACAGGGAATACAAGTTTCAACCATTGAATTGGCAGCTGTCTAGACTATGCTAGTTCTTAGCCTCCTTCTGCTGAGCGTAGTCAATGGGGAGATGGAAGTATATTTACAGTGTGATTCACCACCACCATCACCTTAAAATGGGAATATCTCTATCAGGAAAGTCTCTCTTCATGAACTACAGAGGTAACTTTGCTTAGCTGAATAGGGTAAAAGTGTAAGTCTTAGCCATCTGAAGTTAAACCAATCCTGAAATAACAATAATAACAATAATGATAATAATAACAATTATAATCCAATAGCTGAATGATTAATATGTATTTCCTCAAAAGTCAAGCTCCCAAAGAATCATCCATCCCATTGGAGAAGAGGTGACTAGCTGAATAAGATTAATCACTCTTCTGTGCTATGAACAGGACATAAATACTTACCCAAGATCAGATGTCAAGCTTTACACCACTTAGGTTAACTGAGATGAATCCCACAACATTTACCAAACATGAATTTCTGTCTGTTGGTCACAGTGCAGATGTGGAAAGGGAAGGCAGAGTTTGTGCTTTCGAAAAATACCCTGTTTTCAAGACTATTTATTGGCAAGATCACCACTTTTCATTCTAGTTCACTTGAAATCTTATTCTTTAAAACTCTGTGTTGTTATTACTGATTCCTAAGATGCTAGGAACCAAAAAAATTTGCCCACTTAAAGCTGTACCTTGCTGCTTGTAGTACCTCTTTCAGAACTAGCTTGGTTACCCCTACATCACATGGCAGTGGAGACATACCATCAGTGCCAGAGAAGAACCCCACTGTGCAGTTTCACACTCGTCACATTGATTTCCGTGGGCAGATTTCACCCAGCAGGAGTTGCTGGCTGTGTCGTGGTTTACAAATGTAAGAAGATTGTGCATGCTGGCCTTTATTCCATCTATTTATTTATTTATTTCCCATCCTTTTCTTTCCTCTTCTAAATTGTTTGTTTCAAATATGCTTTTCCAGGCAGGATCAGGCAATATTCTCATTGATAGTGAATTCTTTCCAATCTCCATCTCTCATTTGTTTTAGTAACTAAGGCAAATTACTTGACTCTCTGTTTCTCTATCCCTCTCTTCCAATGTCAGCACATCAGTGCTTTCTAGCACAATGAACCTGTAGTATCTTTTAAAATTAGGCTATTTTTTAGCTCTGCATCATATTACTACAAAAAACAGCCACCTGGTATAACTGAATTTATTATACAGTGCTATGAAATATTTGTTCTGTGTCTACACCTTCTTTCCTGCAGTATGATTTCCTTGCATTTCGCTAAGTTTGTTTGCAGTATCTGTTGTTATTTCAGTGTTTGGAAGACAACTGATGTTGAAGTAATAATAAGAAATAAGAAAGCTTTCCCTATACCTATTATATCCATTTAATTTAAGTGAGCAAGGTTAGCAGGTTGTTCTCAGAGGATCTCATTTGCCACTTTTATTGTCTGTAACACCTCTTGTAAGCAAATACCTCATTACCATGGTTATTTGCATATCCTTTACTTTTGTACTGAGTACCACACATCAGGGAACTATAAACCTGTTACTACATGCTATCAGATTTACTTAGAAAATACGATTCCTACTGTGTGGACAGACACTAGCTATCAAAGACAATAAAATCTAATAGTGTTCAATGCCATCTTGATTTCCATCTTTAGTATGCTGATTGTACCACAAAACTTTTCAAACCCCAGTCTTTGAGCCTTTTGCAGATGTTCTAGTGAATCACAGTACTCATATAATGAGATCCTCCTTGGGCAAAGGAAATAACCTGGGGTAGGAGTGGAAGAGAGAGGAGAGGAAAATGCAAAGGATTCCCTTTTTCACAGCTCCTGTGAGGAATTAATGACCATTTTTGCAGTAATATTGTATTCTGGTGGGTCTGGCAAAGCTGAGGGATTTTTAGCTTATGGGATCAGTGTTTTATAGTGTTATTAATTTATATTATGTAATCTGATGCTGCATCCTTTAATTAAAAAAAGAATTATTATCAACTGCTTACCATATGTCATCATTATAATATTGTAACACTCTTGTTTAAGACTAACCTAATTCTTCAAACACTGTATCACTCACAACTGCCCTATCCACCACACATGGTAGTATCTTGCTTATATTTTGTGAGAAAACATAGGGCTTGATTCCCTGCTACTGAAGCTGATGGAAAAAATACACCAAGTCCAACCCTGTGAGCATACATTCTACACTGATAGAAATCTGCTACTATCACCAAAGCTGATAAAGCCCATGCTGTTTATACAAGTTGATCACCCAAACCTCATTATATTGTACTTGTGCCAGACTGAAAGTATGACACTTTGAAGTATTATCTGCTTTTACTGAAGATCTTATTTTTCCTGGCACATAGTCAAAGAGAAGAGTATATCAACGGAAATCCACTTAGAAAATCGTGGAGCTTGCGGCTTTTAACGGTTGATAAGATTATGTGCTTAATCTCAACATCAAATGCAAATAAGTAGTGGAGATACTTAGATTTAGTTTTTCTCTTCCTGCTAAGGTAGAAGATAGTTCCTATTTGAGGTTACTTCACTAAGTCATATTTTCAAATATTAGTAGGAAATGTGAGAAATTGCTCTGAGTTTTTCTGTACATTGGATGAGTCCTCGAGGATAATGAGCTAGTAAGATGGTGGTTTACAGAATTACAGGAGGGCTTATTCTTCTTGAAAGCCAGTTATAGTTTGTTGTGTCTCTGACAGTGATCAGAAAGAAGCAGGATCTGGTCTCCTTTATTGTATTTACAACAGCACATGGGTCCTGAATTTTTTATATATCCTAAGAGAAGACAAGTCCCATCCACAATCCCATCTCCTCCTCTTTCTGCGTGCATGTAACAGGAGGTTGATTCTTTAACGCTCAAATCTTTAGTTCAAAGCTTGTTACCTGAAGCCTAATCTCTGAACAGTTGTGAAAGGCCTCATTCTGTCTTTCGCTTATGCAAGAAATCCTTAGAAATCCTTACAGCAGTTCTTTACTAATGGAGGACATTTCTACTTCCAATATTTTTTAAAGAAAATTAACAACATGAAAAAAGATAATCTTCCCTCATATATCCACAAAACTGGCTGTAAGATGAAGCAGAATCTGTTTTTCAGTTTCCAGTCATCTCCCTGGATCACATTCCAAAATGTGCCAGTTCTCAATCTTTGACAAGGATCAGAGCCAACAACAGTTTATAGAATTTAAATCTAAGATGCCTAAAGATTTAACTCAGGAACACTGAAAGATACTTAAATGATACTGAAAGGTAGCTACATGGTGGTAGATTTAATGCTTAAGGGAAATTTTGTTTCTGATGTATGTTGGAGTGATTTAACTGGGGCTAAGAAAAGTCATCTTCTGCTACGGTAAAGTCTGGTCATTATTGTACCATGTAACTACATATTTTATGCTTTTCCTATTAATTAAAATTATTTTATTCCACAGAAATCTTATTGGAAAATGATACTGTTTATTATTCTAAATAAGTGCATTTTTTATGGATGGAAGAAACAAGCAACTGAAAAGCTCAATAGCAGTGTGAAGAAAGGAATGCATCTCCACTACTAATGTATTTTATCCCTCCTTCTCTTCTATAGGTTGCCCAGGAATGTGGGACAATATCACATGCTGGAAACCTGCAAGTGTGGGAGAAATTGTCTTTGTCAAGTGTCCTGCACTGTTCAGATTTATCATCTCTGAAGATGGTAAAGTATTTTCTCTTTGTTCTTTGCCTCTGTCTGGTAAATCTGTATGGTCAACAGGAGTGTAAAACCTCACTCAGATACACAATATAAATGGAAATAAAAATACTCAGAGGTCTGGAGTTGAGCTTCAGTTTAAAAAAGTAGTATAGAAAGTAGGGATCTTTGTGTGTAGGGGTGTTTGTGTGTGTGCAGAGGTGGGAGGCAACGCATGTGAAAAGCCTTCCCAGACTATAAAATGTGAAAATATCACTAACTCTAATTGCTAAAGGGGATGTTCTGCCCTTAGGTCTCCACTGAAATCAATGAGACCTGAAACTGTGTTTGAGTCTTGGAAAACCAATTATCACTATTCAAACCTATTTTAGAAAATATCTAAAACTCAGAGCTGGGCTCTGTTCATGGAGAACATACACATGAGACAATCAATCTGAGGAGCTCCCATATTGGGAGTCCAGGGAAGAGTTAGTGGACATTAAAGATTCCTGGAGAGATGCAGAAGCTCCATCATGCCTTTTTGTGGTCTGTAGAAATGAGACATCATCATCCTTCTGCTCCTTGAAGCTGGCACCAGCAAGCAAGGAAGCAGAAATTTGGGCTGTTTCTGATTCCAGCATGCATTGCTGCCTAGCAGAGTTGTCCCTTGTCTTCCAAAAAATACTGCAAATAGTCAGCTAGGCTAGTGTATTTTCTCTTTTCTCTCATTATGACTTTTAGGTTGGACCAAAAGTCCCATACACTCACCGTGCTTGGTAACCAAACCCCATTAGACCCCAGCTTCAATCCTTATACAACCCAGCTGCTGTTCCCAAATGAGTTGTTGTTAAAAGAAGAACCTACTTTAGTGGTGGTAATACTGACTATTTGACTTAGTAATTGATATTACCTAGTGCTTTTTAATGGGAAGAGTCTCTGTGTAAATTACTGTTTGCATGATACCAAACCAAATTTTTTTAAGCTTTGTAATACATGAAAATTTACCAGGTAAAAATGAGAATGTGTCAACAGAAGGAAATCACTATTATGTTGTTCACAGCAGATATATAGAATGATTAGATCTTCTCTTGAAATTGCTTTTTAAGTTTTTCATGATTCCATGAAATTTTCTTCCCATCTGAATGACTGAGAGAAGCTAAGTGCTCCCATCAATTTTAGCAAACAACAAGCCTTTGCTGATAACACAGTTTTGTCCATCTCCCAGCACCCATCTAGACTACTACAGATAATTTAGTTAGCATTGCCCATTGAGGAACAAGTTCTTCATTGTTCCTCGAGATCTTTTTCCCCAAAGATTATTTTACCAATGAATTACTCGTTTAGAGTCTTGAGTCCAAAATCCACCTTCTCTCCATTGCCACACACAGAGGGTAATTTGTGGGAGACAGTAAGTGTTTCATGTACAGTTCCAGGAACACTGAAATCCTCACCTTTAAATATATCTATTTGAACTCATCCAGACATTGAAACAAGTGCCAATGCTCTTGTGAAATGGAAAAGAATTTGAGGGTGATCATTACCTCATCTAAATTTACCCATATGAAACTCAAGTTTTTTCTCCCTATGAGTTCTCTACAATCCATCTGTAGTCAGTGGAGAGAAAGAGACCCACAGAAGGCAATTTATGTTATTCCAAGAGACATGAAGTGAATCATACCTTGGAGAAACCTCTCTTTACCCAGCAAGTACTAAGGGCAATTCACTTAAACTAAGCAGCTAATTTTTAAAT